AGAAGTAGTAGCAGTAGGAGTAGAAGTAGGAGAAGGAGTAGGGGTAGTAGAAGGAAGAAGTAGTAGTAGGAGTAGTCGAAGTAGTAGCAGTAGAAGTAGTAGCCGTCGCAGTCGTAGGCGTGATAGTAGTCGGAGTGGTAGACGTAGTAGTAGTAGTAGTAGTAGTAGTAACGTAACAGTAGTAGAAGTAGTACTAGCAGTCGTAGTAAAAGTAATAATAGGAATAGTAGTAGTAGTAGTAGTAGTAGTAGTAAAGGTAGTAGTAGTAGTCGCAGATGCCGTAGTCGTAGCAGTAGAGGCAGCAGTAGTAGCAGTAGTAGCAGTGGTAGTAGTAGTAGTAGTAGTAATAGTAATGGTAGATGTAACAGTAGTCGTACTTGCAATAGCAGCAAAAGTAACAATAGCAATAGTAAGGTCGCAGCCGTAGTAGTAGTAGTAGTAGTAGTAGTAGTAGTAGTAGTAGTGGCTGTCTACATAGTAGCAGCAGTAGTAATAGTGGAGGTAGTTGTCAGAAGTCGTAGTTCTTGTAATATTAGCAGTAGAAATAATAATAGAAGTAGTAGTAGTAGTAGTAGTGGTAGTAGTAGTAGTAGACGTAGTAGTAGTCCGAGTAGTAGTAGTAGAAGTAGTGGTATAAGTAAATATACTAGTAGTAGTAGTAGTAGTCGTATTATAGTCGTAGTCCTAGTAGTAGTAGTAGTAGTAGTAGTAGTAGTAGTAGTAGTAGTAGCAGTGGTAGGCAGGTCGGTAGTAATAGTAGTAGTAGTAGTAGTAATAGTAGTAGTAGTAGTCGTCATAGTCGTAGTAGTCGTAGTGGTAGTAGCAGAAACAACCATCATAGAAATAGTAACAGCATTAGCGATCGCAGAAATAATGGGAGCAGCAGCAGCAGTAGTAGTAGTAGTACTACTACTACTTGTAATTGTACTCGTCGTAACAAAAGAAATAGCCAGATAACTAGTCGGACTAGTAGTAGTAGTAGTAGTAGTAGTAGCAGTAGGATCAGTAATAGCAGCAGTACTAGAAATAGTAGTAGTAGTAGTAGTAGTAGTAGTAGTAGTCGTAGTAGTAGTAGTAGTAGTAGTAGCCGTAGTAACGTTAGTCATCGTAGTGGTGGTACTAGTAGTATTAGCAGTAGTAATAGTAGTAGTAAAAGTAGTAGTAGTAGTAGCAGCCGTACAGTAGTGGTAGTAATAGTAGTAATGGTAGTAGTAGCCGTAGTAGTAGTAATACTAATCATAGTAGCACGAATAGTAGTACCAGCGGCAGGGGTCGTGGTAGTGATAGTGGTAGTGGTGGTAGCGCAAGAACTAGAAGGAGCCACCGTAGTAACAATCGCAGTCGTAGGCGGTAAGCGTATAGGTCGTAGTAGTGGAAATCGTCGTCGAAACAAGGACAGTCGTACCAGCAATGCTACTACAGGTAGTTGGTTCAGGTATAGTAATACAGTATCTGCTACAGTAAAGTGGTACGGCCGTACGAATGTTATTGTCAGTAATGCTACTACTGGTGTTGGTTTAATGGTACTACCAATCGAAAACGCATCGCCCGTACAAGAACAACAATCGTATCTATAGTGGTATGTAACGGTAGTGGCCGTACAAATAACAAAAGTAGCTGTCGTACGTGCGATAGCAGTAGAAGACATAGTGGTAGTCGTAACAGCAGTCGTGGTCGGATAAACAAAAACGCCCTACCGCCGTCGCACTCGTAGTGGTACAAAAAGGACGCTGAGCATCACGATAAGAAGAACAGGAATAGCAATGAAATACAAACAGCACACGACATAATCGCAGAGCGGAAATGGGTAAGACATGGTAGCACTAGTACGGCTCAACATAGGATTCAGCTAACGAGGTAAGTCGTTGCACTTAGCGTGTATATCAATAGTGGTAAGCGTTGCGGCATCAATGAAGAACTAGTCGTACGAATCGTAAAGAAGTAGCACTCATGGCCAGAAAAACAGAAACCGTAATGAACATGTGAATGGTAAAACCCACAGTAAATAGCAATAACATCGTAGCAATAACACAAAAAGTTCTGAATACGCATGGCCACATTAGCAATTATAGTAACAGCAAGAGCAACACATTAGTGACAGTGATGGTTCGTATAACACCGCCCCAATGTTTCCGGCTGGCGTACAACTGTGACAACACATATTGATCCAATTGGATCCCTTCTGGGTGTGTAGCAGTTTCGCCGATGCGAATGTCTTGTTTCGCGGATCAAATTCCCCGCGTGTGTAAAAAAAACATGGGCGCAGTCTTAATACCCTGGGCCCACAGGGAATTGGATCCACGGGGCACTGCGCTTGAGGCATTATGCTATCCGCGGAGCTGTGGCTCTGCAGACACTATGATTCTACGGGGCAGAGATTGTCCCAGGGTGAAGCGAGGGGAGGAGAGAGGAGGCGAAGGGAGGGGGGGGAGGATGAGAGATGGGGACGGAGGTGGAAAGGTGATATAGGAGAACAAATGAGGGAGGAGAGGGAGGGAGGAGAAAGAAGAGGACGAGAAGAGGGGGAGAGGGCGGCAGGAAGGATGGGGGAGGAGGACGAGCAGGAAGAGGAAGAAGAAGAGGAGGGAGGGCGAGGAGGACAAAGACAAGCAAAGTGTCAAGGTCGGAAGCTCGAGCTCCACAGCGGGCCCAGCCACCTCCCCTCACCCCTCCGATAACAGTGGGCGCCCAAGCGCCACAGCGGGCCTGGCCATCACACAACCTCATCCTAAAACGTACAGTTGCTCCAACGCCACAGCGGGCCCCCGCAACATCTGGCACGCCCCGATTCGAAGCGAATGCAACATACATTCGTTCACTTGAGCGGTACGGCGCTTCCGACGTTTCAATGTCAAAACGAAAATAGGGGGCGCGCAAACATGGATCGGGGGAGGTGCCCTCCCCCAAATGCGGCCAGCGCCGCCTCACTCGGCGGCGGGAACCCGCGATGTTCCATGGAAACGAGACCCGTCGTTAATCCAAGCCCCCTTCTGCTCCTCCTCCTCCAAATCCTCTTCCTCCTCCTCCTCCTCCTCCTCCTCCTCCTCCTCCTCCTCCTCCTCCCCTCCTCTCTTCCTCCTCCTCCTCCTCATCATCCTCCTCCTCTGCCTCCTCCTCCTCCTCCTCCTACTCCTCCTCCTCCTCCTCCTCCTCCTCAGCCTCCTCCTCCTTCTCCTCCCCCTCCTCCTCCTCCAACTCCGCCTCCGCCTCCTTCTCCGCCTCCTCCTCTGCCTCCGCCTCCGCCTCCTCCTCCTCCTCCGCATCCGCCGCCTCCTCCTCCTCCTCCTCCTCCTTCCTCTCCTCCTCCTCCCTCCTCCTCCTCCTCCTCCTCCTCCTCCTCCTCCTCCTCCTCCTCCTCCTCCTCCTCCTCCTCCTCCTCTCCTCCTCCTCCTCCTCCTCCTCCTCCTCCTCCTTCCCTCCCTCCCTCCCTCCCTCCTCCCTCCCTCCTCCTCCTCCTCCACCTCCTGCTCCTCCTCCTCCTCCTTCCTCCTCCTCCTCCGCGGGCTAAACAGGACTCTCTCAGACACAGCGGCCGGTGGCGGGCGCAGGCCCTGGCCGAGCCCCCCCCCCCACCCTCCCACACGCTCGCCCGAGGCCCACGCCAGGGGGGGGGGGGGACGCGAGCAGAGCCCCCTTTTTCGAGGCAGGGCCACCGAGTGCCCATCGGCCGGAAGAAGTGCGGGTGGAGACATGGATCGGCGGCGCGCAAACATCGGCTACACGTAAGAGTGACCCTGGGTAAGACCTTTGGTGCGCGGCTTTGGGGGGGCCGCGGGGAAGCCAACTCCAGGCGCGCTAGCCGCTGCTGCCGCTGCGCGTTCTGCCATCTGGGGGCCAATCTGTGCCCGCACCAAAGGTCACTCCAGCGAAAGGTCACTCTTACGTCTAGTCGAAAACATGGATTAGCGATCCATGGATTTGGCGCGCGGTCGCCAAATGCATGGATCGGGGGAGGTGCCCTCCCCAAAAGTGCGGCCGGCGCCGCCTCGCTCGGCGGCGGAAATCCGCGACTTCCCATGGAAACGGGACCCGTCGCTAATCCACGCCCCCTTGATCCATGTTTGCGATCGCCTGAATGGAACAGGAAGGCGTTGGAAGTGGATTGGATTGGGTTCCGTCCGCCCCCTTGGGAGGTCGGGAAGGGAGAAGCCGCTCGATCCTTGGAGTGAGAAGGCGCCCAAAGTAGATTGGCATGTGGGAATCCAAGAGTACCTACTCTCAACGACCGATGCGTCACGGCCCCCGTGCCACCACAGGGGACGCCGAGGCAGGAACGAAGGGGCTCCTCTGGCCACGGGGAGCCTCGGCCACGACCAGGTTCCCCGGCCCAGGCAGCAGGAGCGGCACACCGGATCCCCTTCCTGAGCCCCAAGCTGGGCCTCGTCTCGGCATCTGTCCGTGGCTCGTGGCCTCGACTTTAAGGCGCAGCAGAGAACCAGAGCCGTGGTCGTATACAGTCGTGCCCCCATGTGCAGTTCGTCACGTAGTGCTGGCACTCGTTGACTCTGTCATGCGGCCATGCTCATACTCATACGGTCGGACCTGGGACATAAGCACATCGCTCAAGAACAGGAGACCCTCCGCCAGCCCAAACCGAAAAATATCCGAGGGCGCCCTCACCCAGGGTGCACAAGAACATCCAACGAACACGAATAATATTAGGGCATTCTTCCCGAACTGACCTCGACCTGATACCTCGGTCCGACTGTACTCGTCGGTCGGAAGAGGTAGGCAAGAGCATGCACAAGGAAGGTGGATCAAGTAGATTGGGTTCAGGCCCTCCCAAATAATAGAACACAGCGAGAGCAGATCGATTCTTGAAGTTGGAAGGATCTAGAAGTATACTGGGTGTGGGAATCCACAAATACCGACTTTCAACGACCGACGAGCACTCGTAGTCCCTATCGCAGCGTCTTGACTGTAGGATCCGTCGGGGGGGGGCGCCTCCGAGCACGAAGGGGCGTCCTGGGATGCCCCTCGAGCCTGCAGCCTCGGACACCTCAGGGAGCCACCTGCTGGTCGGGCAGTTGCTCCCTCCTTCGCGGCACTGGCTGCAGTCGGACTTGATTGGAGAGGACACGCGAGAGGACACAAGACCCTTCCAAGGGCCACGTGGCCACAGGAATGCAGGAGGCATGGGTCGCGAGACGCAGGACACCACAAGGGTACCCTTGATTTGGCAGGGTCGACCTACTAAGCTGGGCCGACTAGAAAAACACATGCTGAGCCATGCCGCCTTCAAGCTCGGAAGACGGCGCAGGAGACTGTGTGGCACGCCCCCTGCGCTTGGGACTGCCAGGCTCCTTCCACTGTCGGCAGCCTCGCGGACGTCGACCGTGACCCGACGTGACCGGCTAGCGTGCAAGTACCATCTCTTGTGCATCGCGTCCTTCATCACAACGTTACCCCGGCTGCAGGCGCTGAGTATTATCTTGGCCAGTTCCTCGCTCTTGAACTCGAATATCCCGTAGAGACCCTTGTCCCGAACGATGCGGCACTCGCGCACGCTTCCGCCGTGCGCGACTAGGTGCAAGCCGCCATACTGCGCAATCGCATGGTCGAGCGCGAGGCAGATCTCGCTCTCAGTGGCAGCGCGCGGGAAGTCCGCCAACGCGCTTGCAGCGGTCGGTGTGCGTCGGCCCCTCTCCGCGCGCTGCGAAGCAATGACTAAGGCCCCCCGACGCATGGAGCCCAGGATGCGTTCGCATTCTGCGGCCACGTCCCTGCGTTTGTTGGCCCTCGGGGCAGGAGACGGCCCCAACGCGCAAAGCCTGGAGAAAGGGGGTTCCATGGACCCTCCCCCTCCCGTCCCCCCTCAACCCCCCCCCCCTCCCCGCGAGCCCGAGCCGAATGCCTACCGAGCCACCCCAGCCCAACCCGAAGTCGCCGTCGAGCCTGTCAATTTCCAGCGGGGGGGCGTTCCAGAGCATCGAGAAGCAACGGCCCCTGACTTGACGCTTCTCGCTGCGCGAGCCCCACCCAGAAGGGAGAAGAGGAGGATTAGGAAGAACCGGAGCCGAACCGCGAAGCGCGAATAACTTCGCGCCCTCGAGGGCGCCCGGGGAGAAGCCACCGTGGAACCCGCACGCCCCCCAACCCGAGCTTTGTTGTGGGGGGTCTGGGACTTTCGCGCCGTGCTGGGGGTGGTTTCGGTAAGCAGTGCCGCCCGCGGTGGCGGCACCGCGCGGCAGCGCAGCTGGATACACCAGCACCAGTGTCGCGCGTTTGTCCGGCGAGGCCCCCCAGGGCTTCAGCGCGCCCAGCAACGGCGGCTGGCCCGGCTGCTCCCCGGGCGGCAGCTGCCAGCTGTCCTCGCTCGCCTGGCGGGGGGGTGCAGGCACAGGCGGGGAGGAGGAGGCGGAGGAGGAGGAGGGGAAGGAAGAGGAAGAGGCGGAGGAGTAGGAGGAGGAGGAGGAAAAAAGAGGAGGGAAGGAGGACGAGGAGGAAGAGGAAGAGCGACATCGCCCCCAAGGGTTCATCCCACATCATTTGCGGCGACAGCCGGCGGGGGCGCGCCTGCGTCGGGGACGTCAGGCGCAGCAAGCGTCACAAAAGGCCCGGTGCCTTGAAGAAGGAGGCGAGCGACCCTGAACCTACCTCCAGCAGCCCTGACGAAGGCAAATCTAACACTCTGTGGCTGTTGAAGCTGGTGGGGACACACGGAGGCAGGGGAAGGACGAGGCAAACAGGCGAGAAAGAGACAGGGAAAGCGAGCAGGGCCAGAAAAAAACGATCGTGGAGGCAGTGCACTTGGGAGCCCACGATTTGATGAACGATGGAAACCCGTAAACAACGACCAACTTGTTCATTCGCAAGGCAACCACAAGCACAACATGGCTTCGCGTCAGACCAGAATCTAGCAGAAGTGCCCCAAGCATGTCGCAATGTTTTCGCATAGGCGGTTGCACACGGTTCGGGAAAACGCCGCTGAGATGAGCATCTCGGGGGCCCACATGTGGAACTTTTCCTGCGTGATCGTGTTCAGACACGAGAAGGAGTCCAAGTGCATGATATGAACCTGCATGCACTTAGCCTGGAATTGTGGCCTCCACCTATCCGCCGGCATATCGGAAATCGCAAGCATAACTTGCGCGTCGCGAGCCAGGTGATAGAATAGAGACTCTGGGGTTGTGGGCACGAAGGAAAACTCCAGCGGGGGCAGAAGGCACAAGCGATCGAAGAGCCTGCTGGCTCCCAAAGTCGGAGTGGTGGAAGGTCATAGGAGACGCCGCGGCATTCCTGGAGCCCGCGGTCCAAAATTGCACGGCGTTGTTCTCGACCATCCGAATTGTCATAGAAAACGGGTGAAGGTGAGCAACGTAGGACAGAACAGGGAACCCAAGCGCGCTGCGCGCCTAAATGCGTTGCCCCAGGTGGTGCGCCCGAGCCCGTGAATCCCCTGAGACCTCGTCGCGAGGGCCGAACTCGGCCCGCCCCGAGAAAGCTCTTCACTAGAGACTCCAACACAATCCCAATCTGCTTCCCAAAGGACGCGACAAGAAGCCTCTTCGCCCACAGATCGTGCTTCTTAAGGCCAGCGTGGATCTCGCCCGCGCCGCATTCACGCGGAGTGATAATCACCGCCCCATCAGAGTGAAGCAGCGGACATGAAAATACATCAGCCAGCAGAAAGCGCTTGACAAGCATTGGAAGACGCCAGAGAATGTCTCGCGGTGCCAGCCCAACATTAGAAACGCGCATAACGCATTATGACAGGCATGAAGAAGCTCATGAAGAGCCGCAATCGAACAACTGGCGCCCCAGGGCCGCAGGTGCTCCAGAGAGACAACGCTCGCATGTCTCAGACTCACGATGCCCAGCCATCTTCTGCTCGGCAGGGAGCCGCAGCGCGGGCCCTAGGAGGCACCTGGCAGAGCCTCTGCGCATCGGGTCCCTGATGGCCAAGACTGCAGCACGAAGGGCTCGACGCAATGCAACCTTCAGCGCGGTGTGCTTGCCAGGGATGCGCATCAACATGCGCGTCGTCTGCCACCGTCCAATGCCTTGTTCGCAGAAGCATATTGAGCTGCGTGAGTGGGGCGACGAGCAGGCCCACGTCGGCGCCGATACCCGCGCATAGCACGCGCGCAACCTTCATGCCCCAGTCGATGCGATGTAGAGACACTGCGACAGCAGACAGAAGTCCATGGCACTTGGACGAGCTCCAACCCTGCTGCAGGTTCGGCCTGATACCCGTGAATGCACGCTGTAATGCTGTCAGCTCCAAGCTGCGCGTCGACTGACCAACCCAATGGCGCCGTCAAAGATCGGGTCGTAGAACTCGTCCGTCTGCATAGCAAACAACGCCGTGACACTTGCATTCTGCCTCGCACCGACCAGCGACCCTGCCAGGCTGCGGAGCTTGGCTGGCACCTGCGCTGCGCACAGCCGCCGGTAGCAGGCCCGCGCGCCAAAGAGCGCGCACCTTTCCCTCGGGTGCCCGTCCAAGCGCCTTCAAACGAGACTTGCGCGCTAGTGCTGCGGCCATGCGCCTCCATCCCTGAATGCCACGTAGCCTGCCCTCAGCCAACTCGTGCCCAAGGTTGCGCGGGTGACCCCAGACCTCGAGCTTCAACGCCTGAGCAAGATCACGGGTGGACCGTTTTGCCCGCTGCGAACTGGCAACGCAGGCCGACTTGCCTACCTAAACGATAAGGCCACATGGGACAACCTCGTTCGCGAACCACTTGGCTGCTCGAAACGAGGAGGCCGATTGGCTCACATCACCACCAACCCAGTGAAAGCTGACGTCGCCCATGAGCGCGCGAACGCGCCTTTCAAGAACAGGCGCGCGACACCACGCTTCATGAGACATTCTCGCCCGAGAAATCCTCTGGAACCGTCGCCCCAAAGGAGCCAAAGAAAGCGGAGGCGGTATCCGGGGAGGTTGTGGAGTGCGCACTTTCTTGCCACTCTCTCAAGCCAAATCTGCGGTGCGCAAGCGAGGCGGAATCCACTCCGACTCCGATGAAAATCGCCTGGCCCGCGTGGCCACCATGATGCCGCAATCGAAGCCCAGCCAGGCCTCGTCGCAAAACTGCAGAAGCCCCAAGCTGCGAATCCCCGTCCAAGGGACCTTGCCACGCTCGCTTTCTCTCTCTCTCTCTCTCTCTCTCTCTCTCTCTCTCTCTCTCTCTCTCTCTCTCTCTCTCTCTCTCTCTCTCTCTCTCTCTCTCTCTTTTGTCTTGTCTATATATATATATATATGTATATCCCTCCCTTTGTTTCTCTCTCTTTCTGTCTCTCTCTCTCTCTCTCTCTCATTTTTCTCTCCCTTTCTATCTCCTCTCTCTCTCTCTCTGTGCTTACCCCCTCTTGCTAGTGATTATTGTATATTTCTCCATCTCTCTCTCACTCTCTCTCTCTCTCTATATATCTCTCTCTCTCTCTGGCTCTCTCTCTCTCTCTCTCTCTCTCTCTCTCTCTCTCTCTCTCTCTCTCTCTCTCTCTCTCTCTCTCTCTCTCTCTCTCTCTTCTCTCTCTCTCTCTCATTATTACGTGCGTGTATGCACCCATGCATGCATACATGAAAACAAGCATGAACACATACATATTTACGCATACGCATACATGCATACACCTATATAAATAGACATACATATATATATATACTTGTATGTGCGCATCCAACGTATCACCCCTCTTTGTTGGTCTTATTGTTGTTTTGTTTCTCTCTCTCTCTCTCTCTCTCTCTCTCTCTCTCTCTCCACATATATATATATATATATATCCCTCCCTCTCTCTCTCTCTCTCTCTCTCTCTCTCTCTCTCTCTCTCTCTCTCTCTCTCTCTCTCTCCTCTCCCTATCTCAGCCGGATCGGGCACCGGGCCGCGCCTGCCCTCCTCGCCCGAGGGGGGGGGCGCCCCCCGCGGCGAGCGCGCGCCGGCGGGCTCGCGCCCCCACGAGAAGCGGGCCGGGGAAAACGAGCCCCGCGTTCGCGACGCGCGCGGCCGCCCCGAGATCCAGGCTGCACGCCCCGCGCCGCTCGAGAGATCGCTCGCCCGCCGACTCTGCCCCGGGGGCCCGCTCCGCGATCGGCCGGGCGGCCCCCCGCTCCGAGCCAGGGGCCGAGGGCTGCGCCGATAGAGCGGGCGCGAGGGAAACCCGGCCGACGCGCGCGCCCGACCGCCCCGGTCGCCGCGCGGGGATGGGCGAAGTCCGGCGCCGCGGCGCGCGCCCCCAAGACCCCCGCGCCCACCGGCGCGAAGAAGGCGACGGCGGCGGCGGGGTCTGAACGCTCCGACGCCGACGTCGCCGCGACGAGCGCGCCGCGCGACGAGGAGGCCCCGGGCGCCCCCTGCGTCGCTGGCCCGACGGCGAGCGAGCAGGCGCTCTCGACGGCAGGCCTGCCCGACGGGCGCGCCGCGACCCCGATGGTCTCCCAGACAGGGGGGCCCAACAGAGGATCCCGGACCCTCCAGGGGGGGCCCAAGTTCAGGGGGGCCGACGACCCTGGGGAGAGGGGCTCTGTCGCGCAGATGCATCGAGCCAAACCGCCCACAGCTATTTTCCCTAATCCACACAGATGGGGACCGCAGCGTGGCCGCGTCTACATTTGTGTTGTTAGGGTCGGGGGTTCTCCTATCCTCGATGACAGATCGCGAGAGGAACGAGGTCGCCCTTGGCCGCGGCCCCCGCTCTGACGAGGGCGCCCGCGCCATTGACGCCCCCGGCAATCGAAGCGCCTCCTCCCGGGGCCGCCCCGCGGCAGCCGGAATATGTCACCCGCGAACGACTGCGCCTCGACGTCGGACAAGCTCGCGGGCAGCGAGGCGAGCCAATGCAACGGTCAGAGGGAAACCCGTGCTCCACAGCGCCGCGCGCGAATCCCACGCGACCAAGAGCCCCCTCGAACTCCGGGCAACTCGCCCCCTGGCGCGCTGCCGCGCCAGCCGATCAACCGCGCTGCTCGGCGCCCTGATTCGCCGATCGGACACATTGCGCGCGCGTCGATCTCGAGGCCGACCCAGCCAGCGACCGCGCCGCCGCCCATCTTCTTCCAGGACCCTCGGGCGCCCAGGATTTAGGGGGGACGCGGGTGGACTACTGCAGGGCTCGCGAAACGCGCGCCAAGCGACGCGAACCGCCAGTCGTCGGAGAGGAGGAGCGGCCGCGCGACAAATTCATCCGCCGCCAGGCGACCCGCGGACCGCCGCACCCATGCGACACCACCAGCACGCAGCAGAAGAGTTGTCACAGGGGCCGCAAGCGCCCTCGAACACTAAGCCCTTCTTCGTGGCCCTGCAGCGCAGGAAGGCCACCCGCCCTCCCGAATCTGCGTCGTCTTGCGAGCCTCGCGCCCAGCTTCGCGTGAAGGCC